GGCTTGGCAACCCTAGTTCTGAAGGTTCTCATTATCCATCCTGTCATTTTTCTAGCAGATGCGATTGATACAATGTTATGGTCCTTGAAGGTGAGATCCTCCGACATGATCACCCCCAGGTCTTTGACGTTGGTGTTTCGCTCTATTTTGTGGCCAAAATTTGTTTTGTACTCTGATGAAGTTTTAATTCCTCATGTGTACCATATCGGAGTAATTGAAATTTCTCATCGTTGAACTTCATATTGTTTTCTGCAGCCCATTGAAAGATTTGGTTGATGTCCGCCTGGAGCCTTGCAGTGTCTGCAATGGAAGACACTGTCATGCAGATTCAGGTGTCATCTACTCTTTGTGTTCTATTTGTGAGGAAATTATAGATCCATCTACCAACTTTTCCTGTTATTCCTTTATCAAGCATTTTGTGCGCTATTATGCCATGGTCGCACTTGTCAAAGGCTTTTGCAAAGTCTGTGTATATTTCATCTGCATTCTTTTTGTCTTCTAGTGCATCTAGGACCTTGTCGTAGTGATCCAGTGGTTGGGACAGACAGGAGCGACCTGCTCTAAACCCATGTTGCCCTGGGTTGTGTAACTGAAGGGTATCTAGATGGGTGGTGATCTTGCTTCTTAGGACCCTTTCAAAGATTTTTATGATATGGGATGTTAGTGCTATCGGTCTGTAGTTCTTTGCAATTGCTTTACTGCCCCCTTTGTGGAGTGGAGCTATGTCTGTTGTTTTTAGTAACTGTGGGACGACCCCCGTGTCCATGTTCCCTCTCCATAGGATGGTAAAGGCTCGTGATAGGACTTCTTGCAGTTTCTTGATGAACACGTGAGTTTCCATGGTCTGGCCCTGGGGCAGAGTGCATGGGCATGTAATTTATCGCCTGTTCGAAGTCATTTGGCATCAGGATAACATCAGATAAGCTCGTGTTTACCAAATTCTGTGGCTCTCTCATAAAAAATTCATTTAGATCCTCGACTCTCAGTCTGGTTAGAGGCTTGCTAAAAACTGAGTCATATTGGGACTTGAGTAGCTCAATCATTTCCTTGCTGTCATCTGTGTAGGACCTCATAATTCTGTAATATTTTAAACTTAAGATTTAATCTAAGTCTGCCCGAAATGCCTAGCCATGCTAGGTGTTCTAGTGGTACACTCTGTAATTATTATTCTACTACATGTAAACCACACAATAACCAAATTCTGTAAACTCAGCATTGTAATCCTTATAGAGAATAAACTTTGAATTGAATTGAATTGAATCTTGTTTAAGTAGGGGTCCAATACTGGACGTAGTTCTTGACTTTGATTTGGCATAAGAAAAGAAATACTTTGGGTTTTATTTGACTACCACCCACAGGATGGGTATGGGGTGCATAATAAAGATATTAAACGCATAATGAAGATATTAAACATCGTATTTGACTCCTCTAAAAGTGAGTCAAATACGATGTTTGCTGCCTTCAAAGAGACCCACACAAAAGACCACCTTGACAGGGAAATATGGATAACAGGGTACAACTTTTTTAGATGTGACAGAAAGAACAGACCAACAAGGAAGGGGGTTAGCCTGTATGTCTGAGTTGCTCATTTGCACAGAGTTCCTCAAGCAGAGGCACAGTCATTGGCCTCCACTCCAGAACAAAAGATATTAGAGCCAGCAAATAAAACCCCCCTAAATTCCATCAATATAATGACATTTGTCTTTGCAAACATACAGGGTTTAAAGCTGCCAACAAACAACAAAATTCTTTACATCAAGGGACTGCTCACGGAGTCAAATGCAATGTTTGCAGCTTTCACAGAGACCCACAAAAAGGATCATTTTGACAACGAAATATGGATCCCAGGTTATAACCTATTCAGATGCGACAGACTAAACAGGCAACAAGATGGAGGGGGTTGTAAGTCACAGAGTCACTCATTTGTTCAGAACTATTAAACACCTCAAATAATGAAGCAGAAGTTTTGGCAGTAAAGACTGAAAACCAAAACCCTGTCATTGTAATTGTATACAGGCACTGGACAGGCACCTAAAGTCAGTACCTGACCAACCGGGCTGTGGTTCATATGTCAGCTTGCGTGCGGTCAGCAGTAACAGCCTGGTTATCAGACCCTGATCCACCATGAGGCCTGGTCTCAGACCGGGCCACGGGGGCATTGACCCCCAAAACTCTCTCCAGGTAAACTCCAGGTAAGCCTCCGGATGCAACTTCCCAGCAATTCCAGGAACAGGTTTTGAAAATTTACCACTGTCTGGAAAATCTCCAACTCCTGCCCCAAACAACTTGCTACTAGGAGATTTCAATTTGAGACACCTAAAATGGAGGAGTGTAGCAAATAATATTTTAGCAGAGATCACCCCAGGAGGCAGCTCAGATGAAAATTCACACACACACACACACACACAAGCTGTTAAATCTCTGCACAAAATTCACCTTAAACCAGCAAATATTAGAGCCTACAAGACTAGAAAATATGCTGGACTAGAAAATATGCTGGACGATCTGATCCGTAATATAACCGTATCAAAGACAATACACTCTGATCATAACATAAGAGAGATACAGACATGTATACACAGGACTCCTGACAAGTAAAATGTGATTAGTCATGAGGGTGTCTTCACAAAATTCAATTTCAATAACAAAAACATACAAAGGGAACAAGTCAACCATGTCTTAAATGAATCAAGCTGGGAAGAGATCCTGAACAATATGGATCCAAACCTTTGCCTAGAAAAAATTAACTCTGGCTCTTGAGATCTGCTCAAGGCACATTCCATTAAGAAAAAGAAAGAGAAGATGTAAACTAGAAAGAGAGAAACGCTCCCTATACAGATGAAGGCGAAGAATTACATAGCTGCTGAGAGGGGCCAATATATCTGAAATACAAAGGGAGGCACTGGTCAGTGAAACAGTAAATATCAAACTAAGCTGAAGGGATCTTACAGGAGATAAGAATCACAGGAAGAATTAAAAGCCATAAAGGAAATTGAAAAAAAAAAATACTTCTTGTATGTCAAATCTAAGGAAAAAACAACATCCAGTATTGGGCCCCTGCTTAGGCGAGTTGGAACATACACAGATGACAGCCAAGAAATGAGTGAGATACTAAAATCCCAATGTGATTCAGTGTTCAGTGAGCCGTTACCTAGACTAAGGGTCAACAATCTCAATGAATTCTTTATGAACGAAACCCAAAATTAGGTCATCTCAAAAATCTCTGATATTATCCTAACACCACAAGACTCTGAAAAGGCAATAAATGACATGCCCATGCACTCTGCCCCAGGCCCAGACTCATGGAACTCCGTGTTAATCAAAAACTGAAAGAAGCCCGTCACGAGCCTTCAGCATTGTAAGGAGATGGAGCATGGACACAGGGGTTATCCCACACTCATTAAAGAAACAGACAGAGCCCCAGTCTACAAAGGTGGCAGCAAAGCAACTGCAAAGAACTACAGACCGATAGCACTAACATCCCATATCATAAAAATCTTTGAGAGGATTCTAAGAAGCAAGATCACCAACCACCTAGATACCCATCAATTACACAACCCAGGGCAACAGGGGTTCAGAGCAAGCCACTCCTGCCTGTCCCAGCTACTAGACCACTATGACAAGGTCCTAGATGCTATAGGGGATAAACAAAATGCAGATATAGTATACACAGATTTTGCAAAAGCCTTCAACAAGTGTGACCACAGTGTAATAGCACACAAAATGCTTGATAAAGGAACAACAGGAAAAGCTGGTAGCTGGATCTATAACTTCCTGACAAACAGAACACAAAGAGTAATAGTAAACAGAGTAAAGTCCAAGGCAGCTATGGCGAAAAGCTCTGTTCCACAAGGCACAGTACTCACTCCCATCCTATTCCTCATCCTCAAAACTGACATAGACAAGAGATGTAAGCCATAGCTCCATGTCTTCCTTTGCAGATGACACCTGAATTGCCATGACAATGTCCTCCATCAAAGACACTGCAAGACTTCAAGGGGACATCAACAAATCTTCAAATGGGCCACTCAAAATATGAAGTTCAATGAAGAAAAATTTCAACTACTCAGATATGGAAAACTTGAGGAAATTAAAACTGTTTCAAGGTATACAACAAATTCTAACCATACAATAGAGCAAAAAAGTAATATGAAGGACCTGGGAGTGAGAATGTCAGAGGATCTCGCTTTCAAAGACCGTCACAATGTATCTACCACATCTGTTAGGAAAATGATAGGATGGATAATGAGAACCTTCAAAACTAGGGACACAAAGCCCATGATGATTCTCTTCAAATTGCTTGTTCTCTCTAGGCTGGAATACTGCTGTACATTAACTACTCCCTTCAAGGCAGGTGAAACTGCTGACCTGGAGAGTGTACAAAGGACTTTCACAGAACACATAAGTACAATAAGGTACCTAAATTACTGGGAACGGTTGTAAACTCTTGATTTGTATTTCCTGGAATGCAAGCGACAGAGATACATGAATACACACTTGGAAAATCCTAGAGGGATTAATACCAAACTTGCACACGAAAATCACTCCCAATGAAAGCAAAAGACTCAGCAAGAGATGCAACATTCCCCCAATGAAAGGCAGAGGCGTCACGAGTACAATGAGACAACATAATAAGTGTCCGGGGCCCAAGACTATTCAACTGCTTCCCAGCATACATCAGGGGGATTACCAATAGACCCCTGGCTGTCTTCAAGAAGGCACTGGACAGGCACCTTAAGTCAGTACCTGACCAGCCAGGCTATGGTTCATACGTCAATCTGCATGCGGCCAGCAGTAACAGCCTGGTTGATCAGACCCTGATCCACCACAAGACCTGGTCTAAGACTGAACCGCAGAGGCACTGACCCCCGAAACCCTCTCCAAGTACATGTATAGTTTAAATAAAAATTTTGCTTCTTGGTACATTTAACAACCTATACGTAATTGTTAAATTAATTTTACTGCATTGAATTAGTATGGGGTCTGGAGAACAAAAATAAATAAAAAATCCTTTTAGTGTCTTGTATATCCATTATTATTTTACTACATGTAAACTACACAATAACCAAATTCCGTAAACTCAGCATTGTAATCCTTATAAAGAATAAACTTTGAATTGGTGACATTCATTTGCATGATCTCTTGAGATTGGGATGATTAGTGAATCATGGTAGAACTTCAACAAAAAAGTAATCAAAATGCCTGATTTTATGAATCCAATAATACTAGATATGAAAGTACACTTAAAATTCCTATTAGGTATTGAAACAGTTATACAAGATCTGTAGCATTTCACCACTAAAGGTTCAATAATAATACTTATAGGCAAGCTCTAAAACTGCAGAGGTTATACAGCTTAGGAGGTAATCTGATTTAAACAGGGTGGGGGAAGAGAAATCCAATTCCTTGGATTAAGAGTCTTTCAGCAGCAAAAAGGCACCATTTTCAAAGGAAATGAAAGGTCTATCTTTCAAGAGAGGTGCCTAGATGCAGGTGAAAAGCTCTCGATCCAGATAATTGTCTCTACCCTCCCTTTCCTGGGATTAAATCTGGTTTCTCTGGCACTGTATGACCCTACAGGTTTAGTGCTTCCCAGGAACATAATAACAAAAACGTCTAAATATTAAGCCATTTTCCTTATATGTTGTTCTAAAAGTCCTAAACTTTTTAAGAAAAATATTCTTTATCTGTATGACTGAATGACAGCTTTGCTAGGAACACTCCATCCATGTGATTCTGATGGGTATATATTCGTCTGGTGAAGCACATATCCTCACTGAACCTAAGAAGAAAAACTAATGAGGATAATTACACTAAGTGGCACTTTCAACAGATAAAAATTTGAGGAATGAAAGGTCAGTCTGCTATACCATCCTTACACCATTTTAACCAATTTTGTTACAGGATAATCATGTACAACTCATCAGCCACAAAATTTCATGTTCAATAAGTATGCTACTGTATGCAGAGAACTGCATTTTCAAATATGTTAGTTTGTAATAAACTTCTGAAATACAGTAATTAAAAAAAGTATTCTGAATCTGCAGGTAACCTCTAGTAGCACTGATGATGATTCAATCCCCATTGGCTGGTGAGAAAGTAACCATAGCACCGCAATGGGAGATATTCACACAATGAATCCTTTCACTTGCCTCTCTCTCTCTCAAGAGAGAAAGACATAATAATCACAAAATTATATAAAGAAAACATTAATAAATTAGGATGAAGTCATAACTATAAACCTCTTCACAGAATGGGAGACATGGAATGGGGTACAAGCACTGAAAATAAAATAAAAAAATAAAAAATATAGCTCCTTGCTGACTACAGGTACCTCAGTAGTGGAAGTGGAATGGAAGCAAATAAAATGTTAAAATAATAGTAAAAGGTGTAGCAAATTTACAAGTGGAGACAGGAAAGGTGGATATGTATTGTACCATTTTTTTTTTTTATTATTATCACACTGGCCGACTCCCACCAAGGCAGGGTGGCCCGAAAAAGAAAAACTTTCACCATCATTCACTCCATCACTGTCTTGCCAGAAGGGTGCTCTACACTACAGTTTTTAAACTGCAATATTAACACCCCTCCTTCAGAGTGCAGGCACTGTACTTCCCATCTCCAGGACTCAAGTCCGGCCTGCCGGTTTCCCTGAACCTCTTCATAAATGTTACTTTGCTCACACTCCAACAGCACGTCAAGTATTAAAAACCATTTGTCTCCATTCACTCCTATCAAACACGCTCACGCATGCCTGCTGGAAGTCCAACCCCTCGCACACAAAACCTCCTTTACCCCCTCTCTCCAACCTTTCCTAGGCCGACCCCTACCCCGCCTTCCTTCCACTACAGACTGATACACTCTTGAAGTCATTCTGTTTCGCTCCATTCTCTCTACATGTCCAAACCACCTCAACAACCCTTCCTCAGCCCTCTGGACAACAGTTTTGGTAATCCCGCACCTCCTCCTAACTTCCCCAAACTACGAATTCTCTGCATTATATTCACACCACACATTGCCCTCAGACATGACATCTCCACTGCCTCCAGCCTTCTCCTCGCTGCAACATTCATCACCCATGCTTCACACCCATATAAGAGCGTTGGTAAAACTATACTCTCATGCATTCCCCTCTTTGCCTCCAGGACAAAGTTCTTTGTCTCCACAGACTCCTAAGTGCACCACTCACTCTTTTCCCCTCATCAATTCTATGATTCACCTCATCTTTCATAGACCCATCCGCTGACACGTCCACTCCAAATATCTGAATACATTCACCTTCTCCATACTCTCTCCCTCCAATCTGATATTCAATCTTTCATCACCTAATCTTTTTGTTATCCTCATAACCTTACTCTTTCCTGTATTCACCTTTAATTTTCTTCTTTTGCACACCCTACCAAATTCATCCCCCCAATCTCTGCAACTTCTCTTCAGAATCTCCCAAGAGCACAGTGTCATCAGCAAAGAGCAGCTGTGACAACTCCCACTTTGTGTGTGATTCTTTATCTTTTAACTTCACGCCTCTTGCCAAGACCCTCGCATTTACTTCTCTACAACCCCATCTATAAATATATTAAACAACCACGAAGACATCACACATCCTTGTCTAAGGCCTACTTTTACTGGGAAATAATTTCCCTCTTTCCTACATACTCTAACTTGAGCCTCACTATCCTCGTAAAAACTCTTCACTGCTTTCAGTAACCTACCTCCTACACCATACATTTGCAACATCTGCCACATTGCCCCCTATCCACCCTGTCATATGCCTTTTCCAAATCCATAAATGCCACAAAGACCTCTTTAGCCTTATCTAAATACTGTTCACTTATATGTTTCACTGTAAACACCTGGTCCACACACCCCCTACCATTCCTAAAGCCTCCTTGTTCATCTGCTATCCTATTCTCCGTCTTACTCTTAATTCTTTCAATAATAACTCTACCATACACTTTACCAGGTATACTCAGCAGACTTATCCCCCTATAATTTTTGCACTCTCTTTTTTCCTCTTTGCCTTTATACAAAGGAACTATGCATGCTCTCTGCCAATCCCTAGGTACCTTACCCTCTTCCATACATTTATTAAATAATTACACCAACCACTCCAAAACTATATCCCCACCTGCTTTTAACATTTCTATCTTTATCCCATCAATCCCGGCTGCCTTACCCCCTTTTATTTTACCTACTGCCTCACGAACTTCCCCCACACTCACAACTGGCTCTTCCTCACTCCTACAAGATGTTATTCCTCCTTGTCCTATACGAAATCACAGCTTCCCTATCTTCATCAACATTTAACAATTCCTCAAAATATTCCCTCCATCTTCCCAATACCTCTAACTCTCCATTTAATAACTCTCCTCTCCTATTTTTAACTGACAAATCCATTTGTTCTCTAAGCTTTCTTAACTTGTTAATCTCACTCCAAAACTTTTTCTTATTTTCAACAAAATTTGTTGATAACATCTCGCCCACTCTCTTATTTGCTCTCTTTTTACATTGCTTCACCACTCTCTTAACCTCTCTCTTTTTCTCCATATACTCTTCCCTCCTTGCATCACTTCTACTTTGTAAAAACTTCTCATATGCTAACTTTTTCTCCCTTACTACTCTCTTTACATCATCATTCCACCAATCGCTCCTCTTCCCTCCCGCACCCACTTTCCTGTAACCACAAACTTCTGCTGAAACACTCGAACACTACATTTTTAAACCTACCCCATACCTCTTCGACCCCATTGCCTATGCTCTCATTAGCCCATCTATCCTCCAATAGCTGTTTATATCTTACCCTAACTGCCTCCTCTTTTAGTTTATAAACCTTCACCTCTCTCTTCCCTGATGCTTCTATTCTCCTTGTATCCCATCTACCTTTTACTCTCAGTGTAGCTACAACTAGAAAGTGATCTGATATATCTGTGGCCCCCGATAAACATGTACATCCTGAAGTCTACTCAACAGTCTTTTATCTACCAATACATAATCCAACAAAATACTGTCATTTCGCCCTACATCATATCTTGTATACTTATTTATCCTCTTTTTCTTAAAATATGTATTACCTATAACTAAACCCCTTTCTATACAAAGTTCAATCAAAGGGCTCCCATTATCATTTACACCTGGCACCCCAAACTTACCCACCACACCCTCTCTAAAAGTTTCTCCTACTTTAGCTTTCATGTCCCCTACCACAATCACTCTCTCACTTGGTTCAAAGGCTCCTATACATTCACTTAACATCTCCCAAAATCTCTCTCTCTCCTCTGCATTCCTCTCTTCTCCAGGTGCATACACGCTTATTATGACCCACTTCTCCTACATTATTTAACAGTGCTGAATAACCTATGTGGGTTGAGCTTCTTTTCTTGTGTAATGGTAATAATCCTCTATTGTTTGAATAAACTATTAAAATAGTAAATATAAATCATGACTTGCGAGCCAACCATACCTGCGTCCACGAAAGTGACTGAAGCCAGGAACACCTAGAGAAACTCCAGTTGGAATTACCTCCATTTCTGGTCTACTGTCTAGCAGATGCTGAATCACATCTTCATTCTCTTCAACCTGATGAAACAAACCATAAGAATAAAAGTACTGGCATAGTTGAATTAATATTACTGGTATAGGTATATGTGAATACCTCAAATATGTTTTCCTAGTACTTAAGATGGTTTGTACAAACAAATCTTACTCTTGCAACAATACCTATTAATGTGATCTTCACATTTGTCTGTAAACATTGAGTTTTTTAAATTGCGAAATGCACTGAAAATCAAAATGTATTGTAAGGAACCTAAAGTGAGGATTTTCTGTATAGGAGCTACTCTACCAATTGTCCCACAAACAAGAAAGAATACTGAAACTGGTGTTTTTACTTAAGAAATAAAAAAGCAAGTAGGGGTACCTGTCAAGGGAGGTGCCTCTAATGCTGGTGAGGGACTCTTGAACCAAGGAAGTGGACATATTCTTCCCTAATTGCCCATATTTTCTATCTGCTGTGCAGCGCTGTATAGCCCTTGTGGCTTAGCGCTTCTTTTTTATTATAATAATAATCTATCTGCTGTAAGACCCCTGTGGATTTAGCATTCCTCTGATTATAATAATCAGGATAAGAAACCAGTGCTTTGTAACATGATCCATTGTTCCTTAACACTCCTGTCTACAACAAACTAAAATTTCACAATCCCTCATGGTACAGCATTTTGAAAATCAAGTACTGCAGGGAATCAAACTCAGATCTCAAACTCAGATCTCCAGTGTGGTTCTTTCAGAAGAATAATCAGTTTTAATACTGCACATATTTTTATGTTTCTGATAAAATTAGCAGCATGAAAAACTCTCACAAAGGAGTTTTGAGTAACCACTATTTTCTCTCATTCATCTATCAAGTCCTTGAACTAAATTAAAGATGCCTGCAAGGGCTACCCTCCCCTTCCTTGGACCAAACTTAATTGCTTCCCATTTCCTAGGTATTAACATTTTTATTTAATAAATGTATGGAAGAGGGTAAGGTACCTAGGGATTGGCAGAGAGCTTGCACAGTTCCTTTGTATAAAGGCAAGGGGGACAAAAGAGTGTAAAAATTATAGGGGAATAAGTCTGCTGAGTTGTAAAATGAGAGCCTGTAATTATTTTACATGATGGTAGAATTGCTGGTGTCTTTTGTCTGTCTCATAAATATGCAAGATTACAGCCACGTCTTGCTACTTCTACTTACACTTAGGTCACACTACATAAACATGTACACGTTTATTTATACACACTCATCTGAGTTTTCTTTGATTTTATCTTAATAATTCTTGTTATTATTACTTTTCCTTTTATATCCATGGGGAAGTGGAATAAGAATCTTTCCTCTGTAAGCCATGCGTGTTGTAAAACTCAACTAAAATGCCGGAACAATGGGCTAGTAACCCCTTTTCCTGTACAGATTACTAAAAAGAAGAAGTAAATTGTCTGAATGTGTGTGGATGTTGTGCGGATGATAAGAAAGAGATGATTGTGGATGCTAAGAATGAGAAGAAGCTGGATGTGAAACAAGGCTGAAGGGGGTGGGAGAGTTTCAGTGGAGAGAAGTAAATGGGATTAGGTCAGGGGTTTCACATAGAGTTAGAGCTAAAGAAGTAGCAATAATGTTGAAGGATAAGCTATGGCAGGAAAAGAGGGAGTATAAATGTATAAATTCAAGGATTATGTGGAGTAAATTAAAGGTTGGATGTGAAAAGTGGGTTATTGTAAGCATATATGCACCTGGAGAAGAGAGAAAGTGTAGAGGAGAGAGGAAGAGGTTTTGGGAATTGGTGAGTGAATGCATGGGGAGTTTTGAACCAAGTGTGAGAGTACTTGTGGTTGGGGATTTCAATCCTAAAGTGGGTAAAAATGTTGTGGCGGGAGTAGTAGATAAATTTGGGGTGCCAGGGGTAAATGAAAATGGGGAGCCTTTAATTGAACTATGTGTAGAAAGAGGTTTGGTAATAAGTAATACATATTTTATGAAAAAGAGGATAAATAAATATACAAGGTATGATATAGCACATAATGAAAGTAGTTTGTTAGATTATATATTGGTGGATAAAAGGTTGATGGGTAGGTTCCAGGATGTACATGTTTATAGAGAGGTATTACAAAAAAGTAATTTTTAAAAGAAGATGGTAAGATTTACTCCTTTTGTAATACAGAGTTCGGGATACATAAATACACACATTAATAAATTAATCTTTAATATATAAAAATCAACTATCTTTGGTCTAGAGGTATTTGAACTATGATATAATAATATGTACATGTTACTATAATAAATTATAATCAGCATTTTACTAAAATAATAAATAATTAATAACCCTACACAGGGTACAACTCTTGACACTATTGTGTCACTATATATATATATATCTCTATGCTAAAATAATAAATTATAAATAACATTTGTATAATAATAAATTACAATCAACTGCTTCTCACGACACGAGGCCAGTCACACGATACTATTCAGTGTACACTACAACCAGGCCATCTTCAGTGTCCCACGACACCCTTTTCATCTCAGTGTTCCACTACGGTCCTGTGCATATCTCAGTGTCCACTCCATCATACGTTCCTAATGTCACACTACGGTCCTGGCCCAGTTCAGTGTAACACTCCAACCTTTTCTTCATGTAATTCCCACCAAACAGCATCTGATGATTCCAGCCCACAGTTGATCAGCGTAGACGGTGAGTCCACAGACATCACCGGTAGTCCAGTAAATCCTCTCCAAAGGCGTTGACACACCGCTAGCCGAACACCATGCTGCAAGCTCACTGAATGCGGCCGTCAAGTAACTGAGGCCAACAGACTCAGTGAGCTGCAGTGAGCGGTTCTTCTAACGCCAGTAGATAGGTACGATTCGGTGGTCAGGTACCTACTGCATAGACGTGTACCCTGAGGAGTTCAGGTACTTAATGTTGAAGCCAGTAGACGTGTACCCTTAGGTGTGCAGGTACCTACTGCTTAGGTGCGTATCCTGAGGCGCTCAGGTACATACTGTTACTAAAGCCAGTAGACTGTACCCTTAGGTGGTCAGGTACCTACTGCTTAGATGTGCACCGTGAGGCACTCAGGAACTTACTGCTCTAAGGCCGGCTCAGCAGCCCCCACATTGGGTTTGATGACGTACCCAGTGGTACTGCCGGCCGGCAGGTTAACTATTTAACCGCTAGTTTGGCAGGGGCCGCAACACCCCCACCACAAAAGGACCAACACAAAAGATCAATGTAATATGTATCCCGAACCGTCATCCCGGATATGATCATCCAGAAATCATTCTAGATAATCATTATCCTCCCGGACAGGCCCCCATATATTACAAAAAAGTAATTTTTAAAAGAAGATGGTAAGATTTACTCCTTTTGTAATACAGAGTTCGGGATACATAAATACACACATTAATAAATTAATCTTTAATATATAAAAATCAACTATCTTTGGTCTAGAGGTATTTGAACTATGATATAATAATATGTACATGTTACTATAATAAATTATAATCAGCATTTTACTAAAATAATAAATAATTAATAACCCTACACAGGGTACAACTCTTGACACTATTGTGTCACTATATATATATATATCTCTATGCTAAAATAATAAATTATAAATAACATTTGTATAATAATAAATTACAATCAACTGCTTCTCACGACACGAGGCCAGTCACACATACTATTCAGTGTACACTACAACCAGGCCATCTTCAGTGTCCCACGACACCCTTTCATCTCAGTGTTCCACTACGGTCCTGTCATATCTCAGTGTTCCACTCCATCATACGTTCCTAAGTGTCACACTACGGTCCTGGCCAGTTCAGTCTAACACTCCAACCTTTTCTTCATGTAATGTCCCACCAAACAGCATCTGATGATTCCGGCCCACAGTTGATCAGCGTAGACGGTGAGTCCACAGACATCACCGTAGTCCAGTAAATCCTTTCCAAAGGCGGTTGACACACCGCTAGCCGAACACCATGCTGCAAGCTCACTGAATGCGGCCGTCAAGTAACTGAGGCCAACAGACTCAGTGAGCTGCAGTGAGCGGTTCTTCTAACGCCAGTAGATAGGTACGATTCGGTGGTCAGGTACCTACTGCATAGACGTGTACCCTGAGGAGTTCAGGTACTTAATGTTGAAGCCAGTAGACGTGTACCCTTAGGTGTGCAGGTACCTACTGCTTAGGTGCGTATCCTGAGGCGCTCAGGTACATACTGTTACTAAAGCCAGTAGACTGTACCCTTAGGTGGTCAGGTACCTACTGCTTAGATGTGCACCGTGAGGCACTCAGGAACTTACTGCTCTAAGGCCGGCTCAACAGCCCCCACATTGGGTTTGATGACGTACCCAGTGGTACTGCCGGCCGGCAGGTTAACTATTTAACCGCTAGTTTGGCAGGGGCCGCAACAAGGGGCAACTGATATATCAAATCATTATTTAGTTGTAGCTACAGTTAGAGATAGATGGGATAAGAGGAAAATGGCAACAAGTAACAGAGAGGCAAAAGTGTATAAACTAAGGGAGGAAGAAGTTCGGGTGAGATATAAGCAGCTATTGGCAGAAAGGTGGGCTGGTGCAAGTATGAGTAGTGGGGGGGTTGAAGAGGGTTGGATGAGTTTTAAAAATGCAGTATTAGAATGTGGGGCAGAAGTTTGTGGCTATAGGAGGGTGGGTGCAGGAGGAAAGAGGAGTGATTGGTGGAATGATGAAGTAAAGGGTGTGATAAAAGAGAAAAAGGTAGCTTATGAGAGGTTTTTACAAAGCAAAAGTGTTATAAGAAGAGCAGAGTATATGGAGAGTAAAAGAAAGGTGAAGAGAGTGGTGAGAGAATGTAAAAGGAGAGCAGATGATAGAGTGGGAGAGGCACTGTCAAGAAATTTTAACAAAAATAAGAAAAAAATAGAATGAATGGTTTTGTCAGTTAAAAACAGAGTAGGGGAGTTAGTAGATGGGGAGATGGAGGTATTGGGTGGGTGGCGGGAATATTTTGAGGAACCTTTAAATGTCGACGAAGAAAGGGAGGCAGTAATTTCATGCATTGGCCAGGGAGGTATACCATCTTGTAGGAGTGAAGGAGAGCAGGATGTGAGTGTGGGGGAGGTGTGTGAGGCATTATGTAGAATGAAAGGGGGTAATGCAACAGGAACTTACGGGATCATGACAGAAATGTTAAAAGCAGGGGGGATATAGTGTTGAAGTGATTGGTATTTTTGTTTAATATATGTATGAAAGAAGGGAAGGTACCTAGGGATTGGCAGAGAGCATGTATAGTCCCTTTATATAAAGGGAAGGGGGACAAAAGAGATTGTAAAAATTATATAGGAATAAGTTTACTGAGTATACCAGGAAAAGTGTACGGGAGGGTTATTAGTGAAAGAATTAGAGGTAAGACAGAATGTAGGATTGCAGATGAGCAAGGAGGTTTAGAGTGGGTAGGGGATGTATAAAGTTTTAAATGATACCAACACTCTTTTTATGGGGGTGAACCTGGGGTTTAAATGGGGGCAGCGAGGGGGCAAACTGGGGGGCAGTGGGTGGCCTGTCAAGGGAATGTTGGGGTTTAAAAATTTTCAAGAATTCGGGGTTGGAAATTTGGAGAAGGTGTAGATTAATAAAGGTATTAGTCAGGGGGGCTGAAGAGGGGTTTTGAGGTGGTTTGGGCATTTAGAGAAATGGATAAAAATAAAATGACCCTGGAGGCATATAAATCGTATGGGGGAAGGGGAAAGGGGGGGAAGGGGGGCATCCTCGAAAAGATTTCAGGGGGGGGGTAAAAAGGGGGTTTTCTGGGCGAGCAAGCATGCGTGAAACGTTTTTTAGATAGGAGTGAATGGGACAAATGGGATTTGGGGCCGACTACTGTTGGAGTTGACAGGGGAAAATTTAGTGAAGGGTTCAGGGAAAACCCTTAATTTTTTTTATAGCCGGGCTTGAGTACTGGAAATGGGAAGTACAATGGGATATTGGCAGTTTTGGGGGGTTGTTTAAAAGAAGTAAAAAGGAAGGTCTTGGGAAAGGTGTGGGGTTAAAAGATAAAGAATCAAACATAAATTTGGGTTGGGCCCCAGTTGCTCTTTGCGATGACACTGTGCTTTGGAGATTCTGAAGAGAAGTTGCAGAGATTGGTGGATGAATTTGGTGGGGTGTGAAAAAGAAGAAAATTGAAAGTGAATACAGGAAAGAGTAAGGTTATGAGGATAACAAAAAGATTGGGTAAATGAAAGATTGGATATCAGATTGGAGGGAGAGAGTAGGGAGGGGGTGAATGTTTCAGATATTTGGGAGTGGACCGTGTCAGCGGATGGGTCTATGAAGATGAGGTGAATCAAGAATTGATGAGGAGAAAAGAGTGAGTGGGGGCACTTAGGAGTCTGTGGAGACAAAGAACTTTGTCCTTGGAGGGAAAGAGGGGAATGTCTGAGAGTATAGTTTAACCAACGCTCTTATATGGGTGTGAAGCATGGGTGATGAATGTTGCAGCGAGGAGAAGGCTGGAGGCAGTGGAGATGTCATGTCTGAGAGCAATGTGTGGTGTGAATATAATGCAGAGAATTCGTAGTTTGGAAGTTAGGAGGAGGTGCGGGATTACCAAAACTGTTGTCCAGAGGGCTGAGGAAGGGTTGTTGAGGTGGTTCGGACATGTGGAGAGAATGGAGCGAAACAGAATAACTTCAAGAGTGTATCAGCCTGTAGTGGAAGGAAGGCAGGGTAGGGGTCGGCCTAGGAAAGGTTGGAGGGAGGATGTAAAGGTTTTGTGTGCGAGGGGCTTGGACTTCCAGCAGGCATGCGTGAGCGTGTTCGATAGGAGTGAATGGAGACAAATGGTTTTTAATACTTGACGTGCTGTTGGAGTGTGAGCAAAGTAACATTTATGAAGGGGTTCAGGGAAACCGGCAGGCCGGACTTGAGTCCTGGAGATGGGAAGTACAGTGCCTGCACTCTGAAGGAGGGGTGTTAATGTTGCAGTTTAAAAACTGTAGTGTAAAGCACCCTTCTGGCAAGACAGTGATGGAGTGAATGATGGTGAAAGTTTTTCTTTTTCGGGCCACCCTGCCTTGGTGGGAATCGGCCAGTGTGATAATAAAAAAAAATAAATGTTGTGTATCTTTATACATATATGCTTCTAAACTGTTGTGTTCTGGGCACCTCTGCAAAAACAGTGATTATGTATGAGTGAGGTAAAAGTGTTGAATGATGATGAAAGTATTTTCTTTTTGGGGATTTTCTCTCTTTTTGGGTCACCCTGCCTCGGTGGGAAATGGCCAACTTGTTAAAAAAAAAAAAAAAACAAGTCTGTTGAGTATACCTGGGAAAGTGTATGGTAGAGTTATTATTGATAGAATTATGAGTAAGATGGAGAGCAGGATAGCAGATGAACAAGGCAGCTTTAGGAAAGGTAGGGGTGTGTAGACCAAGTGTTTGCAGTGAAACACATAGGTGAACAGTATTTGCATAAGGGTGAAGAGGTTTTTGTGGCATTTATGAATTTGGAAAAGGCATATGATAGAGTGGATATGGGGGATATGTGGCAGATGTTGCAAATGTATGGAATAAGAGGTAGGTTACTGAAAGCAGTGAAAAGTTTTTACGAGGATAGTGAGGCTCAGGTAAGAGAATGTAGGCAAGAGGGGTATTATTTTCCAGTAAAAGTAGGTCTTAGACAAGGATGTGTGATGTCACCATGGTTGTTCGGTATATTTATAGAAGAAGTAGTAAGAGAAGTGAATGCTCGGGTGTTGGCAAGAGGTGTGGGGTTAAGAGATAAAGAATCTAACACAAAGTGGGAGTTGGCACAGATGCTCTTTGCTGATGACACTGTTTTTGGGAGATTCTGAAGAGAAGTTGCAGTGGTTGGTTGATGAGTTTGGTGGGGTATGTAAAAGAAGGAAGTTAAAAGTGAACATAGGAAACAGTAAGGTGATGAGGATAACAAAAAAAATTAGGTTACGGAAGACTGGATATCAGATTGGAGGGAGAGTATGGAGGTGAATGTGTACAGAGATCTGGGAGGGGACGTGTCAGCAGATGGGTCTATGAAGGATGAGGTGAATCACAGAACTGATGAGGAAAAAAAGGTGAGTGGTGCACTGAAGAGTCTGTAGAGACAAAGCAAAGCAAAGAGGGGAATGTATGAGAGTATAGTTATACCAATGCTCTTGTATGGGTGTGAGGCATGGGTTGTGAATGTTGTGACAAGGAGAAGGCTGGAGGCAGTGATGTCATGTCTGAGGGCAATGTGTAGTGTCAACATATTGCAGAGAATCTGTAGTTTTGGAGATTAGGAGGAGGTGCAGGATTACCAAAACTATTATCCAAAGGGCTGAGGAGGGGTTATTGAGATGGTTTGGACATGTAGGTAGGATGGAACGAAATAGAATGACTTCAAGAGTATACAAATCTGTAGTGGAGGGAAGGCAGGGTAGGGGTCGGCCTAGGAAAGGTTGGAGGGAGGGGGTAAAGGAGGTTTTGTGTGCTAGGGGCTTGGACTTCCAGCAAGCATGCGTGAGCATGTTAGACACGAGCGAATGGAGAAAAATTATTTTTAGGACTTGAAGTGCTGTTGGAGTGTAAGCAAGGTAACATTTATGAAGGAATTCAGGAAAACCGGCAGGCTGGACTTGAGTCCTGGAGATGGGAAGTACAGTGTCTGCGCTCTGAAGGAGGGGTGTTAATGTTGCAGTTTTATAAATGTAGTGTAGGCATGCCTCTGACAAGACAGTGATGGAGTGAATGATGATGAAAGTTTTTCTTTTTCAGGCCACCCTGCCTTGGCGGGAAACTGTCGATGTGTTAATAAAAAAAATATACGACTTCATGAGAATAATAAATAATAGCATTTCTTAAAATGATAAACGAAGCCATCATTCTTACCAAGACAGAGCAGGTTGTGTACACCAGGAAGGACCGTCGATTATGAGCATGTCTGAGGCATTCAGCTCCTGCAATTATAAGACGTTTCTGTCGCTCACAGATGATCTCCAGATCACGGCTGTCTTTACACATTGAGATCCCTGATTCAGGAGGTACTACACCAATGCCACTGCATGGTGCATCAATTATTACTCTGTCAAAAGACTTGGCCATTGTCTGTCAAAGATACCAACAACAGATTATAAAATGTTCTGTAAAAGACAATTTATGCTGCACTAACAATAAAACACATTAGGTAAAGATGCATTAGATAGAGATAGGCATATAAATATAATTCATAAGTAATATTTTTTTATAACTAAAGCCATTTCCTAAGACAAAGATTAATCATCAACAAAGTTTGCACAAGGAATCTACACAACCAAAATACATGTATATGTTAATATGATATGCTATTACTAAGTTTCTTATTATAAGATTAAAAATATTTACAGCAACAAACTTAACAATCACCTTAGCTAAATCAACTGTAAGCATATCTGTAACCACACAGTTTGTCACACCCAAATGTTTGAGTGTCTTCTGCAATTCTGTAACATCCTGGCAATGTAGAGTTCTGGCAACCAATTTGCCAGTGTTCATCATCATGGCTCCTGTAAAATTATCTTGTGATAATGGTATTTTAATTTTTACCATGTACATACATATATACATTACTATAGTGTAAATACTTTTGTTTTAAATGTCAAAATTTCACCAACACATTTATTAGTAGGAAAGGACCCCAATGGAAATAAGTCACTCTGTCTGACTTTTTTGGGTTATCCTAGGTTCTCTACACATATGCTGCTATGTATGATAATTCTATGTATCTGTATTTGTGTATACCTAAATAAACTTACTTACTAAAAATAAACAAGAAAGCACTGTCCACATAACAGACATCCCATCACCCCCATAACACACATTCCATCCAGCTATTGGGTTTAAAGCTTATGAATATACAGGTATAATTATAACAATCCATGAAGCAAATATCAAATATGTATTGCTGGCGCAAGTATGAAAGTATGTATTTAAGACAAAAGTGAATTTCTAACTCAACAGTGTGCCAGATCAACCAGGCTGTGATATAGTAAAACCAATACCAAAGTTTACCCTCACTATCTCTGCCATGAAAAGTTAATGATCTCTATTGGTTTGATGTATTTTTTTTAATATATTACAGTAATATGGTTCTCACAGCAATTATACGTATTGCATCCAGGCCTACATCAACATTCATGGTAGTTTCTGACTCCTTTAGTGTTTTGCAAGCTATCAAAAAATTTAATTCACCCCATTTCCTAGTTTTTCATTTAAAACTTCAGTTGTGCTGCATTACTAGCAAAAACAAAGAAATTGTTTACTGCTCGGGTCCCTGGGCATGTGGATGTTCAGGGCAACAAGCAGGAGGACTCTGCTGCGCGGTACATGACCTTCACGTTTTATATAGGGGTATTTCATTCTCAAGACTATTTTACTGTAATCTCTAGCCACCTTCGCAACTGTTGGCAATAATGCTGGTCTGAGTTGATTTATAGTAAGTTATATTCTATCAAACAGTGTTTAGGATTCTGGTCTTCTTATCTTGTCTAGACTTAAGTAGTTATTATGTACTACGATAAGTCTGCCTGAAATTCCCTGGTACGATAGTGGCTCTCTTTGTACTTAACAAATCAAAATTGTAAATACACATTGTAACCTTGCAGAGAAATAAAATCTTAATCTTTATCGATTGATGTCGTGGTTGGGAGACCATATTTTCCTGTCTTTGCATTGGATATATGTCTCACTCTTGGTTTTCTCATGGAGGCACTCAGTTCCACTCCAAGAATTGTCAGGTTCCAATTTCAGTTTGCCATATTCTATTGGACTGTCCTGTTTACCAGCGAACACACAGAATTTACTACCGATGTCGTCACCGCTCTAACACTCTCACTTTATCTTCCCTCCTTGCTGACGCCCTCACATTTGACACAGACTCCCTCCTTGACAGCAACAAATTTATTACAAAAACTTTGATTATACATGTACCTCCTTTAGCACTCCTCAGTTCCTTTCTAACTCTACCTCTGTTACACTCTCCACCCTCTACAAGTCTCAAATCAAGCATATTAAGTGTTTAGCACACCCTACCTTGCAGTGCTGTATGACCCTTGTGGGTTTAGTGGTTAATCTTAATTATAATAACAATAATAATACAGTAATAAGCATTCAGCTCTTCCATGAATATAAATGTATAGTCTATTAAGCCCCAGCACATATAATTACTGAACCCTCTATTTAATTGCCACTTACAGAAATCTCATACAGAATATTTTCAAGCCTGATTTTCTTGGCAGTTTAAAGCTTCTCCACATTTTTATCTCCTCTCCTAGGTAGCCAACAGAGCCTCCACTGCCTTCATGTCAACCAGGTATACATATATTCCTTTGCCTCCACAGATCTCTTTCCAGCCATTCATGGTGGGGGCAGGGGGGGGGGAGGGGTTGATGCAGGTAAAGAGATTTTGATACATGGGATCTGATCTCTCCTCCTTTTCCATGGATCATACCTGATTACTTCTCATTCTTCAGACAGTGGATGACCCCCAATGGATTTAGTGCTTCCCCATGAACATAATATTAACTACCATATTTTGCGGCTTATTTGACACTTTTTTCCATAAAATGTCTCCAAAAACCACCCTGCGTCCTATAAACTGAAGGTCAGTGATGGGAGCAATAAGTTTAGGGTGTGGGGTGGGCTGTAGCTCTCCCAGTTATGTCCGATGCCGAGCCATGGAAACTAAAACAAGCAGCATCTTATAAGCTACGAAATACGGTAATAATTATTGGATGGGTTTATGAAGGACAAGGTTAACCATAGAATTAATGAAGGTGAGTGGTGCTTTGAGATATCTGTGGAGACAAAAAAAAAAAATTATCCATGGAGACAAAGCAGGGAATGTACAAGAGTATAGTGGTACAGTGGACCCTCGGTTTTCGAGAATTCCAGAAATCAAGTAATTCGGATTTAGAGCACTTCTTTCAGGAAAATTTTGTCCCAGATTTCGAGCATCCGCTTGGAAATCGAGTGTTTGAGGTGCGTCCACCCCGTCGGCGATGCCACTTCCTCACACGTATCACACTCAGTCTGCGTCTGTCTCTCATTGAGTAAGGAATACCCTGTGCATTCATCCATTCATTCTGGTGCTTGTTTACTGATTGTGACTGTGAAATAAGCCACCATGGGGCCAAAGAAAGTTCAGAGTGCCAGCCCTTCGGTAAAGAAAGTGAGAAACACAAGGGATTATTATTATTATAATCAAAAAAGAAGCGCTAAGCCACAAGGGCTATACAGCGAAACACAAGGGAGATTCCCCTTCCCAACAATAAATCCTCCCTCTCTCCTCCTCCCTGTCTTCCATATGCCAACAAGAGTCTTCAATACAGGTATGTAATGTTTATACTATTTATTTATATTTATTTATAATTGCTTTGTGTATGTAAAACTATAGTTCATCTTTAAAAAAATAAATTTTTTGTGAATATTTTTCGGTATCTGTAACGGATTAATTGGATTTACATTATTTCTTATGGGAAATATTAATTTGGTTTACAAGCATTTTGGATTGAGTGCAACCTTCTGGAATTGATTAAGCTCAAAAACCGAGGGTCCACTGTACCAACATTCCTAAATGGATGTGAAGCAAGCATAGGTTGTAAATGCTGCACTGAAGGAGCCTTCAGGCAGTGGAGATGTTGTGTCTATGGGCAATGTGTGGTGTAAATATTATGCAGAGAATTCATAGTGTGGAAATTATGAAGAGGTGTGGAGTTACTAAAAGTATTATTCAGAGGGCTGAGGAGAGGTTGTTGAGGTAGGTTGGTCATTTAGAGAGGATGTAGCAAAATAGGATGACTTGGAGGGTGTATAAATCTGTAGTGGAGCAGAGGAGGGGTAGGGGTCATCCTAGAAAAGGATGGAGGTAGGGGGTGAAAGAGGTTTTATGTGCTTGGGGCTTGGACATACAGCAGGCATGTGGGAGCATCTTAAATAGAAGTGAATGGAGAAGAATGGTTTTTGGAACCTGACGAGCTGTTGGAGTGTGAGTTGGGTAATATTTTGTGAAGGGATTCAGGGAAACCGGTTAGTTGGACTTGAGTCCTGGAGGTGGGAAAGTACAATGCCTGCACTTTAAAGGAGGGGTTTGGGATACTGGCTGTTTGAAATGACATCTAAATTGTCGTATCTGAGCACCTCTGCAAAGACAAGTGTTTCTTTCTCTTTTGGGTCATCCTCCCTCAGTAGGAAAAGGCCAACGTGTTGAAAAATAAGTGATAAGAGTAAGGTGATGAGGGGTATCAAACGATTTAGATAAAGGAAAACTGGACATCACATTCGAAGGAGGGAGTATGGAAAAGTGAATGTGTTCAGATATTTGGGAGTTGACTTGTCAGTGGATGGATTTATGAAGAATGAAGTTAACCATAGAATTGATAGAGAAAAAAAGGTGAGTGGTGTGTTAAGGTATCTGTTGAGACAAAAAGCATTATCCATGGAGGCAAAGAAGGGAATGTATGAGAGGATAGTGGTACCAACACTCTTATATGGGTGTGAAGCATGGGTTGTAAATGCTGCAGTGAGGAGGAGGCTGGAGACAGTGATGTTGTATCTAAGGGCAATGTGTGGTGCAAATAATATGCAGAGAATTTGCAATGTGGAAATTAGGAGGTGTGGAGTTACTAAAAGTATCTGTCAAAGGGCTGAAGAGGGGTTGTTGAGGTGGTATGGTTATTTAGAGAAATGGAACAAAGTAGAATGACTTGGAGAGCATATAAATCTGTAGGGTAAGGAAAGTGAGGTAAGGGGTAAAGGAGGTTTTGTAGGTGAGGGGTTTGGACTTTCAGCAAATGTGCGTGAGCATGTTATATAGGAGTGAATGGAGACGAAAGGTTTTTGGGACCTTCACAAAATATTATCCTGCTCACACTCCAACAGCTCAACATGTCCCCCCCCAAATTCTTCTCCATTCACTTCTATCACAATCACACATGCCTGCTTTATGTCCAAGCCCCTTACACATAAAACCTTTTTCACCCCCTCCCTCCATCCTCTTCTAGGATGACCTCTACCCCTCCTCCCTTATACTACAGATTTATACACCCTCCAAGTTTATTTATTTATCCTATTTTGTTCCATCCTCTCTAATTGACCAACCCACCTCAACAACCCTTCTTCAGCCCTCTGAATAATACAAATTCAAATTCAAATTTATTTATTTCTTTGCAAGTAGTACATTGAGATTATGTATTTACAATAATGGGTTGCAGTGCAAAGAGAGCCTCTATTATGCCTAGGCATTATGGGCCGACTCAATTTAATGGCTTACTGATTACTTAACACTAAAGAAATTTATCATAGTTGTACAGTAGTTTTATTAATTATAAATGAATCTAATTTATACAAACAAGGATATATTCATATATTCAAAAATGCTTTTTATGAAACATGATTCAAGAGTAGTTTCCAGTAGTTTACAGTATGAGAATGCTACAATTTGGTGAAGGGCAGTACTGCTTTTGGTAGGTATGTATACTTCTATTATAGGTAGTAGGTTGGTAGACAG